TTTGTACAGGAAGCATCTTGAAGCTGTCATTGCAAACAAGGCTCCAACAAGTATTAAATACATTTCAGTTAGCAGTTTAATACTTTTTTTTCTGTGTCATTCCACTTTATTGCACAGATGGGATTGTTACCATTTCTTTAACTGTGTAATTTTATTGAGTTAATATCAATGTCTGGCCTAAATTTCATGTGAATAGCTGCAATGAAAATGTGTTTCATAAAAAAAGAAAATGTTGAATACTTATTTTCCCACTGTATATGTAAAAATCAAGTGTTTAAATACAAAGAATAAAAAACATTCAAACTGATGTCCTTAAGTTGATTTACATTTTATTATATATTAGTAGTTTATTATTAGTTATTATTATTAGTTAGTTATTAATATTAATTCAAATGTAAACAGCACAGCAGTAGCTGCACAGCTGGCCTACTTTAAAACTGCACACAGATCCCATACCGAAGACACTGTGGGCAATGCATTCCACTTACCAGTTATTGCAAAACGTTTTTTATTGTTCAGCCTAACAAATGCATTGTTATTCTTTCTTTCTAAAATGTTTGCTGAGTTGAGATGTGTGTCTGCTGTTTCCCTTATGAGTCAATAATAGTGACAGCCTAAACACAGGTCATCTTTAGCTTCTCTTAGAATCAGAATCAGAATCAAGCTTTACTGGCCAGGTATGCTTACACAAACAAGGAATTTGGTTTTGGTTACAGAAGATCAAACATTTTACAGTAGTAAATAAAATAAAAATGAAGGTAAATAAAAAAATTAAAAAAAGAACTCTATGATGGCTGTGTAGAACTGCACCATCAGCTCCTGGGGCAGGTTGAACTTTCTCAGCTGACGCAGGAAGTACATCCTCTCCTGGGCTATCTTGATGATGGAGCTGGTGTTGCTGTCCCACTTCAAGTCTCTGGTGATTGTTGTGCCCATGAACTTGCAGGGCTCCACTGCCATCACAGTTCTGTCCAGGATAGTGAGTGCTGGCAGGGTTGGAGGGTTTCTCCTGAAGTCTACTGTCATCTCCACTGTTTTCTCTGTATTCAGCACCAGGTTGTTGTGGCTGCTACAAAGAACCACTTGATCAACCACCCATCTGTAAGCAGACTCATCACCGTCACGGATGAGACTAATGACTGTAGTGTCATCTGCAAACTTCAAAATTTTGACTGAGGGGTTCGTGGAGGTGCAGTCATTTGTGTACAGTGAGAAGAGCAATGGTGAGTGTACACAACCCCATGGTGCACCTGTACTGATGATCTGGGTTTTTGAGGTGAACCTTACCCACTGCTCTCTGCTAGTGAGGAAGTTGGTGATCCACTGGCAGGTGGGGGTTGGCACACTAAATTGGAGCAGTTTGTTGTGTAGCTGTCCTAGGATGAGTGTACTCCCTGTTCACTCATGATTCCATAGCCATGCACAACTCCAATGTCCTCATTAAATTTGTGGATGACACGATGATAGTGAGACTGATCTCAGACAATGACAAGGTGGCCTACAGAGAAGAGTGTCCTGACATGTTGGTGCTAAGGAAGTAACTTCCCACTCAACATCAAAAAGACCAAGGAGATTACAATGGACTGCAGGAGAGAATGCACACTCCTATCACCATCAATGGGACTATGGTAGAGGGAGTCAGCAGCTTCAGGTTCCTCAGTGTACACATCACAGAAGACCATACCCTGTCAGAACACACTGCCTGTGATAAAAAAGGCACACCAGCACCTCTTCTACCTTAGAAGGCTGAGGAGATAGAGAATCATCCTCCATATACTCAGGACATTTTACACATGCACTGATCATCCTGACTGACTATAGAGGGACTGCACTGCTCCTGAACAAAAAGCACTGCAGAGGGTGGTGCAGACAGCCAAGCACATCACTGGGGTTGTGCTTCCCTCTCACCTGGAGAAATATACCAGTCGCTGTCTGAAGAAGACTAGGACGGTCATAAAAGACTCTTGTTGCTGGGTGGCAGGCAGTACAGAAGCATGAAGTCCAGAACCATCCGATTCCAGGACAGCTTCTTTTTCCAGGCCATTAGGCTGCTGAACAACCAGTAGCTATGCAATGTGTTGATCATATAGCCTGCACTCACACAACACACCTTCACCATCTCACCCCATATGAACCCTATATGAAGTATAAGTAACTGCACTTATTCTTCAAAAATGCAACAGCTTGCAGCAGACTGCACACCCTTGACAGACTGTCACCCACTCTCCTCTATATAATGTGTCATGTATGGTATACTGCCTACTCAGGGTCATGTATTTTAGACAGGTTGTCTGTACTGGACATTACAGCGTGCGTTCTAGTGTACAGTGTATATATGACTGTGTGTACTCTGTGTACTTCATATGAATGGCATTACTGAACTGCTGCTGTGTATGATAAAGTGTACATCTCAAATATTTCTATACAATATATACAATATTTCACAATATTTACATTTTTAAACATTGTTATACACAGTCAACATTTTTTTGCAACACACAATCATACCTGCATATATAATGTGGATATCTTAAATAGTTTGTATCTGCATATTTTGTGATGTGATATATATCTGCATATAGTGTGTACAATAATGTGTATATGTTGTATATTTGTTTTTGCATAAGGATAGTGCAATAGTATCATTGTGAGGATGACATGTATACAAATCACAAATATATGACAATTTTGTACAAGTGAGGACATTTCGCTGGTCCTCAGTTTAGCATGCTGGCTTTATCACAAATTCAACTTATTTGAAAAAACTAAAAGAGCAAAAATATTGCCTTTTGGATGCTGAAGTTAGGGTAGGGTTAGGTTTAGGTGTAGGTGTAATGTAACTTGACAGAAATAGACATCACAAGGAATGTAAGACAAACATGTGTGAGTGTGTGTGTAAAACCTTACAAACTGTAATAAACTTTATCTGTCTGTATTGTACTTTTCTAAGCTGACACATTTTTGATTGCCATTCTGAATTACAGGGTCAAATTTAATCTTGAGTAGTATCTTTTTACCCAAATAATGTGGTTAAAGGAGGGTTAAAGATACTCCATGCAGCTACCACAAGCCACAGAGATCAACAGTGGCTCCAGTAATCTGTTTCTTCCTCTGGGTTTCATTATCAGTTTTATTATATTACATTGCCAACAAAAGGATGCTGTACTTAAACATTAATTTTGTATCCACTACAATTCAGTAAATACCATCATCATAGTCTCATCTCACAGCCAAAGACTATATACAGTATCTGCATCCACTGCTCTCTTGAGGTATCCCCCTGCATAAGTTTCTGGCCTAAATAGATAGCTAGTTAATATTAGCCACAGCTGGTTTGTGGGTACATTAAAACAGCAGAAAAACAAATTATAATGTGCAGTGACCTTGGGATTGTGAAAGGCGCTAAATAAATGTAACTTATTATTATTATTATTATTAACTTATTATTGGTGCACACCATCGTCTGGTTGAGCCAAAGTCACGCTTGTTCACAAGAACTCTTCACTTTACCCAAAACTGAAAGCTTTGGCTCCACAAAGTCTGAGCTAAGAGCCATAAACAGCTTAAAGGAAGTTACCCTGGAACCAAGCATAGACACTGTAAGAGGTTATCAACCTTCTGCCACAAAGGTTAAAAAATGCAGCAATAAAACCCTGCTTGGAATCCAGCTGCAGGCCTCATCAAAACTCACTTAACTAAACTTTTTAAATAACAGAAAATCAAATTTCTAAAGTGTGCATCAACTCCTAATTGCCATAATTCATCAGGGTTTGTTTCAAGAAGACTGGAGACCCCAAAAATGAGGGTGTGAGAGAATTTATAAGAGTTAGCGTTTTTTGGATTTTATTGATAATTTAAATGTGGAGCCACAGCACCACCAAGTGGTGAGACTGAGACACACCACACTGCCACCGTAAAGACATGCTTTTAAAAGAAAAGGACCCAAGAAAACTTCTTATGTGGTATGCTTGATAATCAACATTTTTATAATCTGTAAGCAATACTACTTGTATGTTATGTAGTCAATTACTTCTTTTCTCCTATCAAATGCTAGAAATATGTAGTGTATTACTTTAATAACCCACCGATGCAGCCATTTCATTCTAGTGAATTTAGACCACTGATAAATATGTATCCTGTGTTTTTCTTTCCTTTTCTTTTTGTTGTTTGATTTTATTTCTTCATCCATTGGGTAATGACCCTGTTTGAATGTAGTCGTAACCAGCAATACCCATATATTACATGCAATGTTACTTGTGTCTTTTAACATATTGTGTTTCAGGTAACAAGGGTTAAAATGGTCCAAACCTATTTTATGCTAGAATATTTTTTCTTTTCCTTTGTTTCAAGATCTGACTAAAAGAAGGGAGTGATTCTTGTGAGGCGTTCATAAGATTACGCACCACCAATTAGAGTTGGAAACCATGAATAGCTAATTAACTGTTAGGAGTGGAGAACCTAGCAGTACTCTGGCTCCGCCTCCAAAGGGTAGGGCCTACAGCTGAACAAAACCTGACATGCCAAAGAGTTCTTGTCAAAGAAGATATACAATTTTTAAGTTTGTGCCGGCCTTGGTCAGAAAGATAGGTCTGTCCATTTGTACACTTTAAGTTTAAACCACCCTTAGAGAAGAAAAGTGAAGAGGTTTCTTATCTGGCCAGTGAGAACTTCACATTTTGGCTTGGTCAAAGAGAGGTAATTAGTTAAGCTAGTATCACCAGCCTTGGAACCCTGACTGCAATTCAAACCTTGCCAGTGGAGTTAGATCAGTTCCACAGTTCTGACACCACGGAGACCCCAGCATCTTAGCCAGAGCCACGTATTAATCTGTAAGCAGATTGAGCATCAAAAGACTGCACCCTTGAGCAGCCTTTTTTTTAAATATTGAATACAGAGCTGCACAGCTTCTCAGCAACTATGTACACACAAAATTAACACACAGCACACCCTCAACCATCAATTACTGAAATATTCTCATGTCATCCTTTGGCCTGTTTTACCTTAGTATCTCCAGTTTACAGTGAGGATCCCCAAGTCCCACAGAGAGCAGCTCCACTCCAAAATCTCGGAGTTTATTCCCAGACAGATCCAAGAGTCTCAGATGTGAGTGGTTTGATTTCAGAGCTGAAGCCAGGGCTTCACAGCCCTTATGTGTGATTTTACACTTCCACAGCCTACAGAGAGAATAATGACACATTTTATTCTCTCAGGACAAAACATAATCAGTTCAGCAGTATCTTCATCTGAACAAATAGATTAAAGTTACAAATTTTTATAAAATTCACTGTCTGAGGTGTGTTAAAAATCAACAAAAATCACGTATAAGTAAACAATAGAAAAATAATATAAGGAAAAGCCCAAATGTGGTGGTGTATGCTATATCAAAATTAAAGACTCTGATTTCTCTTTTAACAAAATTATTTTTAAATCATTTTTTAAAACTATAAATAAATAAATAAATTGATAACTAAATAAATAAATACACAGACACACACACACACATTTTTTAAGCCTTCTTGGTTGCCATGTGGAGCTGGAGCCTATCCCAGTGGTCATTGGGCAGAAGGCAATAAATTAATGAATAAATAAATAAATAAATAAATAAATAAAAGTAATGAGAAAACAGCAAAAAAGCTGAAAAGTCTGAACTGGGCTTAAAGGGGTCCCTTGTATGCCTTAAGGCAACCTGTGTTCCCAATAAGCATAGTCAGTTTTATTTAAAAAAAAAAAAAGATAAATGTTAATAATTGATAATCTTAGGAGCAACAGGAACAATCTATCAAAAAGAATTACAACAAACATTTAAACTGGGCACCATAAGCTAGGCTGATCCTTCTAAATCACATGACTGGCTGACTTTTCATAGAGTTTTTAATTAATTTACCCAATGCAAGATTATTTTTGTATTTTTTTTAATTTTTCCCCAATTTTCTTCCCAATTCCACCCACTAGTCAGGACTTCCCCAATCACACAATACTACCAGCGCTAGGAGGGTGAAGGCTAGCACAGGCTTCCTCTGAGATCTTTGAAGCCAGCCACCTCATCTTTTCGATGCTCACGCAATGTCATTGGACAGCTGAACACGCTTGGAGGAAAGTGCCAACCGCCAGTTCTATTACATCAGCTACCCACCCAGAGAGCGAGGCCAATTGTGCTTTCTTGGACCGTATCACCAGGGATCAAACATTTAATATCCTGATGATAGGGCCAATGCTTAGATGGTTGTGCCACTCGGGAGCCCCAAGATTATATGTATCCACTTAGGTATCAAGAGTTTTTTTGTTTTTTCGGACCTCTAGCTAGTCTGTAGATGTGTTATTCTATTTAACTGAACTGAAAATGCTATTATTTATGCAATGAGTACTGAAAAGCAAAGCAGATATAAACATGGACTGAGGATTTGTAAAGATGCGTCTTAAAAGGTGGACAATAATCTCTGCAAATGCAGTTTTACTTACAGCTTTTTTTTTACAATTGTTTAAAGTAATAAATAACAATGTTTTGAATTTTCACTATTAACAGCAAACTCAAGCATGAAGTATCTTTAATCCCTTTTCACCTGACCAATGTTAAGTATACTAAAGAAGCAACAGAAATGGGTAGTAGATGTAATATATATTCAGCATTTTATTAATTGATAAAATGAAATATAATATTTATTGAAAACAATAAAGATTACGATAATAAACCTTTTATATCAGAAATATACATTCTTATGATATTTAAACCCACAATCTACAATAACTGTTTAAGTAAAAAAAATGACTTCTGACTTTAGGCTTCTGACTTTAGCCACAAGCTCAGATAAGCTACTTCTGAAAAGTATTACAACTAAATCTTGAGCAACTGTGTCATATAAATGATTCATTTGCTTATTAAGTTGGCTTGGAAAATTAAGGTGGCACTGAATGTAGGGTGGAACTACATTTAAGGTGGCACTGAATTTAAGGTGGCATACAATTAACATAGCACCAAATTTAAGGTGGCACATAATTTAAGGTGGAACTCCATTTAAGGTAGCACTAAAATTAAGGTGGCACTGAATTTAAGGTGGAACTCCATTTAAGGTGGCACTGAATTGAAGGTGGAACTGAAATTAACATAGCACTAAATTTAAGGTGGCACTGAATTTAAGGTGGAACTCCATTTAAGGTAGCACTAAAATTAAGGTGGCACAGAATTTCAGGTGGAACTTCATTTAAGGTGGCACAAAATTTAAGGTGAAACTCCATTCAAGGTGGCACTGAATTTAAGGTGGAACTCCATTTAAGGTAGCACAAAAATTCAGGTGGAATTCATTTAAGGTAGCACTAAAATTAAGGCTGAACATATTTGGTTTTCAATTTACAGACAAGCAATTGCTTTTATTGTGATCTATACTCTGTATCTCTTTTATTGTATGCCATTTTATTATATAACTCTGCCAGCCTCCTGTATCCAGATGTTAATACAAAAGTCAGTTATGTACCACAATTTAAGGGCACAAATCCACACCAACTAGCTTACTATTGATTAACCTGACAAATTTTATTTGATGAATTGGTTATTCCTTAACAATAACCTGTCCCTTCCAATAGGACTACCCAGCTAGCATGAAGAATTGGGCTGAGCTTGGCTACTGTGCAGGAGACTTAGCTAAGAGTTGGCACCGGCACACTGGAATTGGTCCAGTACAGTCAAGGCTCTGCAACTGATGCATCGGCAAAAAGTACAAGGGCTGATTCCACCCATACTTTTGTGGCCCAAGTCCACCCATACTGAAGCAGACAGAGTGACCCTTTACACAAATGTTTAACTGAATAGGCACTGCACACTTAGAGCCGCTATTTGGGGTCACTTCTGCTTTAATTTTGGAGAAAATAATATGTGTCCTTTTAAATCTCTCTCTATTAAACCTCTCTGTGCCTCCATTCCTCATGGGATTGTATAGGGAGGTCCTGAACTTTACAACGCCAGCCAACTCTGACAGGACCTGACATAATTTCTAATGTCTTTCTCCATGTTAGACCAAAAAAAGAAAGATGTAACTGGTGTTTGGCCAGATCATGAACATCAGTCAGGGCATCCTTGTTCAGTGACTCAGGCAAAACAACAGTGCTTAACAGTGTATTGTAAGGCTCCAACAAGAATCTTCTGCTTAAAGGCTTCATAAAAGGGTCTCAGCTCAGGTCATTGGCCACTACATTGTGCGCCAGAAACAGGTTTGATATCAAAGCAGTATGGAGGGAGTTTGGAAATCCTCTGCTGCTCACATGCATCCAATTTTGGTTTGGTCATTATGTTTATGAGAGGATTATTGTCTGTCCAAACCATGAATTTATGATCTTTGAGCCAATGACTAAACTTGTCACACACAGACCACTTAAGCGATAGGAACCCAAGCCTATGTGCTGGGTAATTGGCCTGATTTTGACTTAGAGATTTACTAATGAAGGGTATTGGCCTAGTTCTGTCTTCCCTATCTGGAACTTGTGATAAAACAGCACCAGGGCAATCAAGAGATGAATCGGTGGACAGGATAAATATGTGGCAATCTTACCCTCACACAGTTATGACTGTGGCAGATAATGAGTCAACTCACCCTACCAAGTCTACCCTGATTTAATTTTATCCAACAGAATGGACAAAATTACTGCCTCAGGAGCTTTTGATCTTGGTTTCATTGACCATTGTCTGATCAGATCAGATGCATTAGAAACATTTGCAGGGAAAAAAAACAGATTATGGTGGTTAGCAGAAATTTTAACAATTTTAATAAGCTTTTCTTTCTGACTTAACAATGGGTGAAACTGACTTAGCACTAGATTATTTTAGCACTAGATCATTTTAGCACTAGATCATTTTAGTAAATCATTCTCAGTAGTGGTAAACAAACATGCTCCCCACAAAAAGCTAAGAATAAGAAAGACTGAATCCCTGGTTTATTAATGAAAGTTTCTCATTGCTTAAAACAGGAAATAAAGTTTGGATTGTTGCCAAACACACAGTGCAGAGAGGGAACTGGCTCACATTCAGGCGGCTGAGAAATAAATGTACATCGGCAATTTAAAATGGCAGATTAGATTATTTTGTCAACTTGATCACCAACTCTTCCAACAATTTCTGGAATCAACTGGTAGTTGATCAAAAAGAACTGCAGCCAATTATATATTTGAAAATACTAACATAAATCTGCCTTTGAATCAGTTGACATCACTTTTACTGCTACCCAGAACCATGGCCTCTTCACACTCCAAACTCTCTTTCTATATATAGTGGCTAATGCTCTCACTGCTATCAACTGCTATAGGTGAGCACCGTTTGAACCCCTATTTCATGTGTCTTGCAACCCCAGAACATGTTACATACATTTTTTAATCTTTCTATTTTGTCTTGTAAAATTTCCAGTATCTGGAAAACAGCTCATGTTATTCCGCTGCATAACGGAGGAGAGGCTAGATCTAAATAACTACAGATCAGTCTCAAAACTGTCATGTTTAGATAAAATTTTAGAATCTTTAGTGAAGAGCCAACTCACAAAGGACCATCTTTGTGATAACTCAAAGTTTTGTTAAACTTTGTTAAAATGATCTCTACTTGAGTACTGTGTACTTAGTACTATGAAATGTTACTACCCTAACAGGATTCAGCATTGAGTGAGTCACAGAGTATAAGTACCTTGGCATCTGGCTAGATGAGAAGCTTACAGTGAAATCTCATATTAATAAACTAGTCAGTAAGTGCAGACAGAGGCTCGGATTCCTATATTGAAATCAATGTTTTCTATCTATGTATGCCAGAAAAAGAGTCGTGGAGGCAACCTTACTATCAATACTGGACTATTGCAATGTAGCTTATAGACATGCTTTCACCAGTACCCTCAAACTGCAATATTTTACTCCACCTTGCAATTCATTACTGGCAACCCTTACAACATTCACCACTGCAGACTGTATGATAAAGTTGGTTGGTCCTCACTAGCAGGAAACAAACAGGCTTGTTTTTTATTTATAAATCACTTTCCAGCAACATGCCAGCTTACATCTCATTTATGATCTCTATAAATAACAGTAATCAGACCCACAGTAGTGACTGGATCACCTGTCAGGTACCTAGAATTTTTACACAACTGGGAAAATTTGGTTTTAGTTACAGAGCACCAGTGAGCTGGATTTCAGTACAGGAGCCTCTAAA